AAGTAAGAAAAAAAAGCATAGAACATACCCCCATACGTGATATTTTATGACCTACACAACTAATCAGGGACATATAATATAATCATGTGACATAGAGCACATATAAGCAGAAAATCTTTCTAGTAACAGAGGCCAACACTTCCTAACTTACATATATTTTGTGACTTGTGTTCGGTATAGGAATTTTATTGTGGGCATAATAAGCGTGCAATCTCGACGTACTCGGTGTTACGACGATCTCTTTTCACAACTTTATTCATTTAACATTAAACAAAATGTAATTAATATTTTATAATTGTAACGATTCTCAACATTTAAATTGTGAAACAGACAAATATCGGAATTGAGAGCACGAATATTATTTATCATCGTGCACGTATAACGAATTAGGAGGAGCTAAATCGAAACGGAAACTCGGAGTAGAATAAAAGCGCACAATAGTATACTGTCACAAAGCCTTCAAGCACATGATTAAAGTCAAAGACATGATTAAAGCAATAAGCACTAAAATCTACATTTTTACTGTGCGTTTTCGTAATACGCAATAATGACGCAAATAATAATCTTAAATCTTTCAATTATAACAATTTAGAATGGATTATATCCTTTTCTTTTTTCTCGCAAAATGAACATTACAGTATGTTGTAACATTTTAGTTTTCTAAAATTATTTAAAAATTCTCCATTTCGCTCTAGCTTCTCCTATTTCTCGTTGTTGAAACTTATCGAATTATCTTCAAGCGTATCTTCAAATTTGAGCAAAATCTTATGTGCCCCTTGATTTTGGCACTTGCAATTCACTATAATTAAACTTGATCGAACTTATCTATCAAACATTGACTCGCTTGACTATCGTTATCGACATAAATAGGTAAGAAATGAAAAGCTTGGCAGAAAGTAGTTACTGCGATCTTTCTTTGGAGTATACTTGTCTGAGCGAGTAATCCAACAATCTCTAGATCCATACACAAATTACCATTACTTTGAAAGTCATTTTTATATACATAGTATTAGTGTTATTTTTATTTCAAGGTACTATCTTACTTAGTAATTCATTAATTTAGTCCTTTCATTTAATATGTTTATGTTTCCTTCACTTTGATACTGTTTAAGTCTTAATATTTGACATTATTATTATGCGTGTCATCCATTCTGTGTCTTTTTTTAATTTTTTTCTACCAGCGTTAATAAATATAAGGAAGTGCGTCTGTCTCGTAGCTAGAAAGGAAACGTCGCCGATATTATTAACGCGCGTATTTGTTCGGAAAAACGTGTTTTTTTTTTCTTTATTATTTTTTTTCTTCTTCGCGGCATTTTGATATTGACTTTTCGTCGCGACGTTCTTATTCACCGAGACAGACGTAATCATTAGGTCTACTGTACAAGAATGTGCCAGTACATACGTACAATATACCTTCAAGCCCTCCGGAATGTCCACTCGATATTAGCATTAAATTTATTTGTAAATATCATGTCGTATTTAAGCCAATCAATTCTCCGGAATTTTCTGTGCCTATATAATTATATTTGAATCCCCTCTTGTTCTAGTTATTATTAATTATTAGTTTAGATTTTATGGTGTCATCTAGTATCTTATTTAGTGTGTAAGCACTTTCATGTTCAATTAATTGAATAATATGTGACTCGGAATGCCTTAAGAATATGTTAAAAATATGAAAAGAAAATATAACAATGCCATTTATGTTTTGTATGTTTATTTTATTTCCTTTTCTGTTCGCGCTTTATACATAGCTGCTTTCATTTTCAGATTCGCGAAGGACCGTAATAAAAACAATCTTTTGAAAAGGATCTATTTGATGGGAGGTGCAATATGCGAAATTTATTTTATTTAAATGCAACGTATTTTTGCAAATAATAATAATAGAAGTTTATTTGTGGATTATGTAAAAAAAATGTAATAGTGAATAAAAATAATCGGTTATTTATTTCACTGTTTCTTTTTAAAATTGTTTTTTTATTATATTTATATTTTTAAAAATCATTTCATTTAGAGATATATTCACTAATGATTGTTTCCAACTCGCACTGTATACGTCGAGATTCACAATTCTTCATATTTAATATAATCAGGGATTCACCGAAATCATACGGAAGTCTCGATCAAAGTACAAAAAATTAACCATAAATAGTCTATAATATACGTAACAGGAAAAGGAGCACTTGAGAAATGCTCGTACTTATAAAAAATGTTTTAGAAAGGTGTCATGGATATATTTCAAGATTTGATATCGAGTGATTAAAGAAGACTTTCTGAAAAAGTGTGAAAAAAAGTGAAATGAATCGGACATTATCAGACGAGAACAGATTTTCAGCTTGCTGAGTCTGCTAATTTTCAGAGATACGATTTTCAGAGATACGATTAAATTTAAGCGATTGAGAAGATAGTCGATGAATGAGAAGCGATACCAACGCATTTCCGTCATCATTAGAAATTTATCGATATTACGGCGTCAGGAGACAAAAATGATCGAAGGGTAAATTGCTCGACAATTTTACTTCGACGTATAGCGTGAATAATAATGTATACTGTATAATATTTATATTTAAGAAAAAAAGAAAAAAATATAATAGAGCGTATATCCCATTATAGTTATAAGTAGATATCTTATGTAATGTTATTATTAATCACGTTCAACGTGTGTTAAGTTAATCGCGGATTAACCAACGTAAATGAAAAACGGAACTGGCACGTGCAAAATTAAGGTTCAATATAAAACACAACCATCTTTTATGAGTGATTGCTTAATAGTATTTCCATTAATAAACTAGTAAATCTGAATATCATCGAAATTCGCTAATATTCAAGATGAATATTAAAATTGATTAATAAAAAATCAATCATGTAATATTAAAAAAATATTTTTTATAGACAGTATTTTTACATTTGTCTAAAATATGATCCTCTAATTTCTCTTTTGTTAATTCTTATTGAGTGCAGATTTGTGTTCAATGGCTGACAAGTAATTGTAATCTTTAATGTGAATCTATTACTGCGACGAAGAATAACGCTTTGGAGATCTCGAGCATCCGACGCCGTGAGAGAAAAGCTCAGCTTTAATACGGATGCGCGCGACGTTTTCATCGATTCGATGTCGCTTATTTCACGTACAGCGCGAGCAAGCATTTCTTTGATAGTAACGAATCATCCTGTATTGCGCCGACGGATAAAGCCTCGTACAAATGATAGCAATTTCTCCCCATTGATGCAAAGGCCTGCACGCTCATCTTTTTTTATGACAGAAGCAACTAATTAGTTGCCTTTGTTCCGAGATAAATGAATCACGATCAATGAAATTCTGTAACGTGCCTTTCTTTTGTATGTCGCCATTCTCGTAATCGTCATAAGATTTAGGAGCTCGTGCGTTGCGTTGCTCGGTGCCTTCTTGCGGCCTGTTTGTACGCAAACTGCACCATGTATTCGTCCATTTTACTCACCAATGAAAGTTTCGTTTGCGAATAATAAATCACATATTAAAATTCCATATCTAACATTTATATTAAATATTAAAAGAATATTTTCATTTTCATTGAAAACATTAACTGCCTATTAAACTATATCTTCATATACCTTTTAGATCACACTTTTAAATATTGAGTATGGAATGAACACTAACCAAAAGATATTATTGTAATAATAAAATCTGTTGTATCACTGATATTTTTAGGTAGTTATATTAACTTTTCCTATTGCAGTTTGACATTAATATACGAATTTGTAACATTTTTTTACTATTTACAATTTTCTAAAAAAATAGTAATTTATAAAACAAAATTGCGACTTGAATTCTCTTAGGTTCTATCACATTTGGATAGCAGAAATAATTAAAAAGAATCTGGTATTCTTATAATTAGGTATAGTTATAAGAATTTGCAAGTAAAATTAATAGAATAGTGCAAATTGGACATTTAAGAGAATGGACGAACAAGGTACATCAGGCGATCACAGTTCCTATTTTGCCCCCTTACATACATTAACAAAGGGCACTACGTATGTATACATAAATATGAATCTACAAAGAAAGATGTATAACTCTATTTAGATGTTAAGCGCCGAGATGAGTATACAATAAATTTAGATTGATATATTATATTGTAAACGGAATAGTATACGTTATGGTAAACCGTATATGTATACACGTGTACTCTGTATGACGTAGACAAGCAATTAATTAGCGAGATCAAGTTCATTTTTTATAAGGAAACATCGTACGTGTACGAATAATTCTGAGATTCTCGATGAAGCTCTAACCATTGAGCGAACATGTACTTTCTCAAATTTAATGACAATTTTGTTGTGCATCCACCTTTTGGATGTAAATTTGTTTTTATTCTCTCTTTTGTTACTGTTGTTATTTTTATAAATTAAGTTGTATCTATAATAGTATTTTAAATAGACCTTTGTATATATACGTATGAATTATATTGTAGAAAAAAGACATAATAAAATTTATAGAATGTAGTTGCATAGATGTGTAATTATTACATAATTATTATCCTCATAATTTTAATATTAGTAAATTAAAAATAAAAATTAATAATTTTGATGATGTTTAATTGTATCGTGTACTGAATCAAAATGATTATTTTAATTTATTACTTTAATGAATTTATTACTTTATTATTATTATTATTATTATTAGGCGTTAGGAACTCGAAAGCTCATTTATTACTTCATGCCTGCAACAAATATATATATATTTAAAAAAAAAAAAATATAATTTATACAGCCTTTATTTGTCAATAATTAATTACCGACAGAGTTAATGTCGATAAAATAGCAAAGGAGAAATAGATTCCCTGCAAATAACATAAAAAATTTATCTTCTAATATACGAAATATTTACTCTGTGTAATGAAACAAGTTTTACTTTTATGTTATTCAATTACATTGTCTTATTTCTTGTAGTGTTTAATAAGATAATTTTACGCGATTAATTGATCTTTAGTACCATTTGTCGATACATATCTATATGACTTATAGAAGGTAATTTACCAGCTGTTGATGTAGAAGAAATATTAAATTTAAAAAAATTTATTTTAATATTATCAATAGAGCATAAATTTATGATCTATTGATAATATTGAAATAAAATCCTATTGAATTTACAACAAAATTCCAAAATATTTAAAAAAATATTCGATAAAAATTTGTTGAAATTAAAATATTTTGAAGATAATAGAGTAAGAGAAATATTAGTCCAACATTATATTATATAATTTCAATTATCAAATAAAACATTATTTGTTATTTCATAAATTTTTATGTTAAATATTAAAATATTATTTTTGTTGTACTGTGTGTCATTTATTTAAAATTTCCAATGTAATAAGAAGACGAAAAGCAATAATAATACATGTAGCACTCGACAAAAAAATTTATATAATAAAAATTATTATGAGATGTGAATATCACATTTCATAATAATTTTTATTGTGCACCTCGTCATTTATGCACTTTTTACAACCTTTCAATGATAGTTACTCATAAAACAGGCCTTTTCTCTCTAGGCACAATACATCACGTAAATGCAAATTTTAGCCCACTTAAATCTTCTGTCTTGGGAGAACGAATCACATTTGTGACATACGATTTAACAACAGTGATGTACAATGAATTTTCTTTATAATCATAAATCGTGATTTCATGGTGTCACATTGTCTATCTTTTATAGACGTAACATTTCGTAACATTCTTTATTCGTCTTTTACATATTTAATTTATATATGTATAATATCTACATATAATATCCGTTAAACTTTAAAAGCGAAAGATTTATAAGAAGAACAAAAAAATATGTCTTTATATTCAAATTTAATTGAAGACTTTATTTTTACAAAAGTATTATCTATATACAATATAATGTAATGAATTTGATTTTATGGAAAATATGCAATTGCATTTCAAGCTGTTTTGATATCTGCATCGCTGATTTTATTGCGTGACGTCGAAAGCAATTGACTTTGCAAATTTATTCCGATAAGCAATGCGATTTTCCACCTGGCCGAGTTATGATGTTTTTTATGCACGACTTCTTCGTTGATCTATCGCGAATAATGAAGAGCCGTTACAAAGTTACTTGTTTGGGACTAGGCGCGACGAGTTGCTTTTGTGACGCGCACACAAAGCGAAGCGCACGGCTCTCTTTTGCGATGGTATTTAAAAAAAGATGCGGGAAATGCATACATTTCCACTTTAGAGAATACTTGTTAACGAATGCAAGTAGAGCCATAACACGTCCTTTTGGCCATGTGCTAACACGTGACAGACATTGAAGAAAACTTGGGAAGAAAACTATTGAGCATAAGATTTTCGAGTTTATTTTGAGAATTTCTAAAGTTAATAAAAAGTGGAAATTACACGCAAAAAAAATATTTTGCTGCTCCAGCTAGAATTATTACTGTTTTTTGCTTTTATAGAAAATTATGTATCATACGTATAGAATTTATAGTGCAAATCTAAATTTTATCTCTGTCATTTATATAAATAGATACAATACATATCCAATATCGTAGTACTTACTAGAAATTTGTCTATTTTAGCTGGTCTTTCATTTAATAATTTTTGCTATAACTGAAATATCACTTTTTTTGAGTGTAGCAACAATTGAAAAAGGAAATTCAGTGAATGAGACTTAGACTAAATACAAGTTATTCAAGATGTAAGCTCTCTTAAATTATTATACAAAGTACGTGTACGAAATAAAACTAATTTGTTAAGACAAGCTCAAATTAATTGAAAGTGTTCATACCACCGTGCGTTAAGAAGAAAGAAAGTGCACATAACTTACTTGAGTCGATAAA